TTTTTTCGCCCCCACCACCCTCACCGTTCTTTCCGAAAGGGTGAGGTCTGTATTAGTTTCAATACTGCATCCTCACGTGGTAAAGACGGGGACAGAGAAGCAAGATAGCAAGGATGAAAACAGTGGCTTTGAAACTGAAACCAGCAGATTTATTAATGTTTACCAGGAAATATGGTTGCTCCCGACCGGGATGCAGAAACCCGGGGAGGCCAGAAATTTCCCCGCTCTGAGTGTTCCAGAAATCCTACACATGTGGCTATTTCTACTTGGGAATATATCACACGCATGGGCACGTATAGACAGACGTGTTCATACATTTAAATACAGATTTCATCTCTCTGTAATGTTACACACACACACACACACACACACACACACACACACACAAGTGATAGGGGATACCTGCTCAACGTTTACACTCTGCTGAAAGCTTTATTTATTTTTATTTTATTTGTTTATTTATTTATTTATTTCGGGGCTTTTTCCAGAACTACTACTACAGTATGGGTGGTTCCAGTAGTGCTATATGATTCTACTGAGTGGACAAAGTTCATAAAACTGAGCAAGAGAGAAACCAAAAGGAATAAATAGTATCATTTTAGTGAGATATTTGGAAGAAGCCCTCAATCAAGGTCCATATGGACCGTGCGGGTCCCTATAACATTACTGGTGTCCATTTTTAAAATGGTTTATGAGTTAGTTTATATAAATTTTCCATAGAATTTAGTTGCTAAATGCAAGTTTATTTTCATTAAATTAATTTTACTTAAAAATAATGCATGCACATTAACTATTTCTATAATATAATTCCTAAAACTTCTCGGTCTATATTTCTGAGATGAAGTATTATGTACACTATTTACATTATTCGGACTATTGTCCCCATCTTTGTTGCCATATTTATCACAACGTCTCGGCCGTTGTACACTCCGGCCTTATCCAGGTGGTTGGAATGTCGAATAAGTTCCCGAAATTCGTACACAGATGTCCTTAAGGACACATGGCACAGTGGATAAAGGCGTTGGTTAAATCCAGTGACAGGACCCAAAGAGTTGTGAGTTCACTACCTGGTCAAGACAGTGGAGAACTTGGAGAGGTGAATTAACAGGAGATAACTAATAACTGGCATTCATTAGACATGGAACAATCTACCCCAGTGAGCGAAATAAAGGGTTCAGTTCGACATTCCAGCCACCTGAAGAAGCGTACAACGGTCGAAACGTTGTGAGAAATATGATAAAAAGATGAAGACAATCATTCAATAGTTATGGGCGTGGGGTCCACCAAAAGAAAATTAAGAGTAAAAGGAGTCTGAGTAAAAAAAAAAAAAAAATGTTGTGAACCACTGCTTTAACTTAATTTGTGTTGTATAGTATGTGTGCAGGGATCTGCAGCAAGTAGAGTTGAAAGTCTAGCCCAGTCTTTACACTAATAGCCTTGGGAAAGACCTGAATCCATCTCCTCTTTCCAGCCTCGCAGCTATGGGTTAAATAGCAGAACTCTCTAGCCGTTTTTAGCAACCAGTCTAAAAGAGAGACGGCTGTACTCGAATTCACTGTCAACAGACACTGGGGAAGACTTGTCACCTGCAAGGGGTTAAGAAACAAGTGTGTGTGAGAGAAGAGAGAGGTGGGAGAGAGAAGGGGGAGAGGGAAGAGAGAAGAGAGAGAGGGGGGAGAGAAGAAAAGAGAGAAAAGAAAAATAAAGACCGAGCTGACTCTGAATTCTTACCAGACACGATGAAAGGTTGCACTTTGCTTTGAGCGTCTGTTAGGGAATAGAATTCACCCCAGACCTCAAGTAGTGCTCATACATGCGATACCTCGCAAAAATGGCCGGCTTCTTATACCACGCCAGAAAGTACCTGACCCCAACCTCAATGCTTCATTTTTTCATTAAAAAAATAGAAAGAATGCAATACTGCTACCACATGTAGGCTGGAGCTGCGAAATCCTCTTTTTTCAGTCCTGACAGAGCTCAACAGCGTTTACGAGGCCTTATAGGCGGTGAATGATTTTTCAACCTGTAACATATAAGAGAAGATGGATACAAAATTTGTTCTTACTGTAGATCTTATTAGTCAAGGCTGGTGCAAGAATCTCTTGGGCTCTCACCGAATCTATGATACGTTCCCCACTTCGCTATATCACTATTTTCATATGCTAGTATTCATATAAAATACAATTTTTACTGTAAACTGATTATGTACAATAATAGATCATGTGCAATATATGTGAACAATTCATCTAAATACAGTGTAACTCGGATATAAGAGACCCGGATATAAGAGATTTTCTCTGGTCGCAAATTAGAGCCTGTGTTAATGTATATAAATTAGACCAAACCCGGATATAAGAGACTTCTTCTCCGGTCCTGACAGCTCTCTTATATCCGGGTTACACTGTAATTGAAAATAAATACAAATTAAAGACGTTATAATAGACCCTTCCACCTTAAATAAATCAATGTTTTGCGACAATTTTTAACATCAATTTGAAGTTTTTCTTTATACACGTTAAATAATGTAACGCAGTCAACATTATGGATAAAAAAAATAGTAAATTTTTTATAGTACTTTTCGAGACTTAGCATGAAAAAATAAAAAAACAAATTCACGAATTTGGAAGAAAAAAAAAAGACCCGAGAATGACGTCAAAATCCGAAAAATTTTCAACCTTTTAATAGTCAATTGTGATTAGTTTAATTTGTAATGTATATAAATGAAGGTAGAAAAAAGAAAATATCAATAAGATTAGTGAGGGTTACAAAACATTACCCGGGGCCCCTAGTCAGTCTCCCGCTCCACTTCTGGGGTTCGGGGTAGTATGTGTCGGCTCTGTTATTAAGCACAATAAAGAATAAAAAACAATAAAACCTAACAATATACTGTAATAAAAATAAAAAATGAAATGACAGACAATTTCGTCTTACCGTAGAACTTGGCACAATACAACTAGGGCGGCTAGCGAATCCTTGTTGCACCCGCTTGCTCAGGCACATTTGTGTTTCTTCAACACCCACAGAGCCAACCTGTGGTTCATAATGCAACTATGCTGAGCAGACCTTAGTTACGGTTTCTGGGAAAGAGCGTGTTATCTAGCGTGATCAACAATCACAAGGCCAGCACACTCAAGACCTCGGTCACGATGACTTGTGAATTCGTGCTAGCACAGCTATCGACAGCACCCAAGGGTTCCGTCTACCCAATTTCACTCACAAGGCTTGGGTCAACACGTGGTATGTTTTTCATGCGCTTTCCAAAAGGTTCCACACGCAGGGATTGACCCCTCCAGTCCGATAGCATCAGGAAGTCTCCTTCCTGACAAATTGACTATGGTGTGATTGCGAACGTTCTAACCACTCGTGCACGTGGCCGACTGGTTAATAACAAGTAAATATAGAAAATAATAACAGCAAAAATAGAAAAAATATAACGATATACTTTAAGAAATATTGCTGAGGCTAGAATATTCACTCTTATCGTAGATCTTCATAACATAACACAATTGCCTCAGTTTTCTTTATATGTGATGAGATTGTCCAGCATTCGCTGCCAAATAAGAGGACTGATATTACGTAACTAGTCAATAAAGTTTTCTATGTTTCGAATTAAATTTAACGGTTTCTTAATACTTTTTGGAAGGTAAACGGACGAGACTTTGCTTAGCTTTTTGGAAGGTAAACGGACGAGACTTTGCTTAGCTTTTTGGAAGGTAAACCGACGAGACTTTGCTTAGCTTTTTGGAAGGTAAACGAAAGAGACTTTGCTTTTTCTTTTTCAAAAGGTAAACATAGTCTCTCTCTCAGCTTCAAAAGTCTATATTTCTGAAATGAGGTATTATGTACATTATTTACATTACTCGGACTATTGTCTTCATCTTTGTCGCCATATTTATCACAACGTTTCGGCCGTTGTACGCTCCGACCTTCTTCAGGTGGTTGGAATGTCAAAATGAACCCTTTAGTACGTTTATTATATTTATATTAGGCCTTAAAATTCCTTGAAGAACATAGGGCCACAAGATGTTGCGGTTTCTATAACAAGCCATTTTTTTTTTTAAGTGAGAAGGTTGTTTATTGCACAACCCCCAGTCTCTGAATTCAGAGTTGTCCTTCTTCTAGACCAGTTGCCAGTCTATTCATCCATAGCTGCGTGGGAGGAGAGAGGATTCATACTCTTTCCAAAGGTATTAGCACTTAAGTGAATGTAATGGATTCAACTTACGGTCAAATCACGCTGAAACACCGGTTCTCGTACGATCACCGAAGTTAAGCAGCGTAGAGCCAGGTCAGTACTTAGATGGGGGACCGCTTGGGAACACCTGGTACTGTAAGCCCCCAAAGTCCAACCCTTACCTCACAGTCGGTGGGTGGGTGTAAACGGTAGTGTCAGAGCTATACCGCCCGGAACTTCGTTCCTGGTAGGGCCACCCAAGGCGGACAGGTCTGACACACACGCCGGCTAACAAGGGCTCTGGTGAAAAATCCAAGGAGCGTCTGCATCGGTAACCGGCGGCTTCTGGTCGTTCCTGTCTCTGCGTCTGTGGGGATCCCGCGGCAAGCAAGAACGTTATCCGAGTAGGCCTGGGTACCCTACTTCTGTAATTTATCCCAAGAATCTTCTTCTCATAACAGGAAGAAGCCGGCTCAATCCGCCCAGGGTGAATGCCGCATCAGTACAGTAGTAGTAATGGATTCAACTGGAATTCGAACTCGGCTCCCCGATTCCTCAATCCGAGCCGCTATCCATTACCCCTCCCTCCATTATATTACGTTGTTATAATTGTTCTATTTTTATGTGTGTTGCTGATTTTCTATTACGTCTTTTAAGGATCCTTAGTGTTTTTTCTCTCCTGTAAAAAACCTTATCATAGTCTCTGTATAGGGTTTGGTACTAACTGTGGTTTCAGATATTCCCTGGATAATTGGGAATGTCTACCCCACGGATAAATGGAGTCAGTATTCAATACATGCCTTCCTTTTGTCTTTTCTACAAATAGGCCACATCACGTTGAAACACCAGTTCCCGTACAATCATCGAAGTTAAGCAACGTTGCGCCTGGTCAATATCGAGATGAATGGCCGCCTGTTAAATCCACGTGCTGTAAGATTGGATAGGCAGATTGTGTAATCGATAATTTTTTTAATTGTTAACCGGAGGGCCGAGTTCCAATCCCGTTGTGTTCATTATATTTACTTACGCGCCAATACCATTGGGAAATGTATGAATTCATCTCTTCTTCCGCTATCTATGGATTAATTAGTAAGACTTGTATCGCTAGACCATAATTATCTCCACCCTCGAAAAAAAATTCTTACAATCTAAAATTATTTCCCGGCTTGAAATAACCTGTAAAGGGATAAGCTGTAGTAAACGTGTAAGTCAATCAATTTCTACAACTATTTTCATAGCAACTGTTCTAATGAGTTTTCCTACTTGGTTTCTCGACTACATGAAGCTAAGTCTGCTACCAGATTGGCAGTTAGGTCTCACTATTTTACTGTTGAACTAGCAAGGTACATCCGTCAGTTCTAATAGTTTCTTCTTCACGCCTGCTGAACTCCCTTCCGATTCCTTGCCAATCGCAGTTTTGTGTTTTTTCTGAAACCAGTTCTTTTATTGTCCTTTCTCTTTTAATCTTTTCTGTTAACTCACCCTAAAATTTAATTCACTCCAACTTCACGGCGTCCACTGAAACGGCAGCGCCATCTATCCTGCCGATCTGTTAATCTCAACCTCAACCTCGTATCATGTCCATTATAGCATTTCATTGGAGTAGGAAGAATATTTACTCTTTGTAAGAAGCGAACAGTCAGTTATGTACCATGTATAATACACACTCGGGCGATCAAGTTCTTTCGATACATGACTGACGAGGCAGATCTTTTTCCCACAGTAGGTTGCTATTTCTTTCTTTCAAGGCTATAGAATATGCTATTTACCCACAGCTGGTGGGGGAAGAGGATTCATACCTTTCCCAAGCACGTAAGTGAATGTAATAGATTCGACTGGAATTCGAACTCGGCTCTCCGATTTCTCAATCCCAGCCGCTATCCATTATTCCACCGTGTCTCCTCTACCGCTGAAAGAAATGGTAATTTACTGCGGGGGGGGGGGAATCTGCCTCGTTAGTCATGTATCGAATGATACCTGATCGCCTAAGCGTGTATCTCGCATAGCACATAACTTACTGAAGACGCCAACACCATTCTCCTCGCTTTTGCTTTATTTTATTAACTCCAGCAAGTTCATGGCAAGCTTAACAAATTTTGACTTAAAATTTATAATTTCAAGAGTGCCAAAAATTGAATAACAAAATAAACTTTGATTTCAAAATTTATAATTTCTTGGAGTGGATTAATATTTGTGATAAATAACTTTACATTATTTTGGGGTGAATTAATAGAAAAGATCCAAGTCTTATTCTCTTTCACTCCCAATAACCCCTTGCGTCTTAGCGGCCTTATCGGCATACTTGGGGTGAAAGATTGCTAGTTCGACAATTTTTCCAGTCTGCTGTGCCAGAGAGTAAATCACCCTAAATAAATATTTACTTAAAATGTTTCGAAAGAGAACACAGTCTCCGGCATTTAAACCCATCCCTTGAAATGAAGTAAATATTCGTAAGGTGAGATTCAAGTCGAATAGTTTCTTAAAAGACATTTAATTCTTAAAGCTCGATTCAGGTCAGGTTTTGTTGGTATCAATTGCCCTTGCTGGCTGCGCTGGGATGAATATCGGGGTATCGATAGCTTTTCTCGTTTCGCCGATTTCTCGTGTGACATACCAACAGACCATAAATACAGTCTTTTAAATTTTTTTTTATTATCTCGAGCGGGCACCCTGACCCAGCAATAAAGTCAATTTTCTTTTTAATTAACTTTTTCTTAGAGGAAATCTCTTCTCAAAATATTAACGTTCGCCATTCAATGACATTAATTAACTTTTTTGCTACTTTACATGTAAAACGCCAAAGGACGTTAATTGTAATGCACGCCTTGTTCTCATTTTATGCTCCGCGAGTTGCTGTTAATCTGCTTTTTAGCGACGAATCCTGGATCGTACTATTTGTAGCCGACAATTTTATATATAATACATCTTCAATGTCGAGTTTCGAAAACTGACTCTCTAGCAATTACTCCGTCTACTCGTCGGGGGCTATCAGCAACTGACTGTTTATTTTATCATTAGAGTCGGGATGCTGAAGGTAGCACCAATCAACTAAGTGGGAAATTTCATATGTGTATTAATCCTAGCTCTGATATCGATCACTTTATTTGCAGAGACTGCTTTTCTCTCAGTATTCCAAAAACAAGTTTTCGATTCACACACACACAAATCTATCTATCTATCTATATATATATATATATATATATATATATATATATATATATATATATACATAGGCCATTTTTTTTTTTTTTTTTTTTTTTTTCAGGTTTAAGTTAGAAGATTCTTTCTTGTTTCTTTGGCCTATACCATTTATATCATTGGATAAAAATCGCTAGTCAACATCCAATCAAATCGCACGTCTCCAATTCAAACTTGGTTATATTTGAAAACCTCAGATGCCGACCCATCAAAAGTAAACTTTTCGCCACAAGAAATTATAAACCACCATTTAAATTTTTTAGTTTTTTTAACTATATATATATATATATATATATATATATATATATATATATATATATATATATATATTTATATTATATATATATATATATTTTATATATATATATATATATTATATATAATATATATATATATATATATATATATATATATATTATATATATAAATATTATATATATATATATATATATATATATATATATATATATATAAATATATATATATATATATATATATATATATATATATATATATATATATATATTATATATATATATATATATATATATATATATATATTATATATATATATATATTATATATATATATATATATATATTATATATATTATTATTAAATTTTGTATATATATATATAATTTTTTGTTTATACATTCTTTTTGTGAAGTAAAAATATTTATATTAGATGCTCTGTTTCTAATAAACAGTATTAAACAACTTTTTAAATAAAATTTCAGGGCTTTTCACAGGAAATATTCGTCCTCCGACAGGATTCGAGCCTGTGTCCTTTACGGAACCGTCATTTAGCTTGACATGCATTTACCGATTTGAACACAGAGGCGCGTTCGGTTAGATACGCCATGGGCAGATATAAATGTACGTGAGAGATTTATAGAAGATTGAAGTTCAAATACAGTAAATTCCACCTTGCTAACCGAACGCTCACATTCCGTTCAGTCCCTAGTATCTTCAGCATCTTTATGTAGAACCACATTTATGTTGCTTCAAGTCTTTTCATCTTTGAAAAGATTGTCCAGCATTCGCTGCCATACAGGACAGATATCATTTAACAGTTCAGTATACTTTTCTTTGTTTGTAACGAATTTTTTTCTGTCTCTTAATATTCTGCTTAGCTTTTGGAAGGCATCTTTGGCCATCCCAATAAGTATTTGAATCTCAGTGTGACACTTTCCGTTCACTTTTAGAATACTTATCAGATATTTAAATTTCTGTCTTTGTTTGATTTTAGTATCCCCGATTTGTAATTTGCACACAATCAGAATTAAATTCTCTACATGCTCTTGTACTTTTTTTAGTAACGCTCTGCAAGAGTTTCTAATTATTTAATTATATTTGCTTAATACATTCCTCGCCCAAAGAGGTTAATTACGCAACGTACCCGTTTCTTTTCTTTTAAGCATTTCACTCTAAGGAAGGCAATAAAGCCACTAGGACGCAAGGGGGTTAATGTGTGTTAGACAATATGAGAAAAACTACTATTAAGGAAAGAGGACAATAAAAGAACAAGTATTAAGACGACAGAAGATAAACATTACATTTACATTTTTGAAAATCAAAGGTGACTGGGAAGCAAGATGACGGAATGGAGTTCTATAAGCGAGAAGAGTGAGAAAAGAAACTGTTAACATAGAACATATCATTACATTTTAGCTATTTCAACTGTAAAATGTCTTTGTTCCTGTTTTTGTTGTTGGATGTTTTTTCTTATTTTTTTTTGTTGTTGTTGTTGGAGGGTGTTTTTTCCCTATTTTGTTGTTGTTGATTTTTCCCCCTATTTTTGTTGTATTTTTCCCCTATTTTTGTTGTATTTTTCCCCTATTTTTGTTGTATTTTTCCCCTATTTTTGTTGTATTTTTCCCCTATTTTTGTTGTATTTTTCCCCTATTTTTGTTGTATTTTTCCCCTATTTTTGTTGTTGGATGTTTTTTCCCCTATTTTTGTTGTTGGATGTTTTTTCCCCTATTTTTGTTGTTGGATGTTTTTTCCCCTATTTTTTTTTTCAAAAATTGGATTTTTTCCCTATTTTGTTGTTGATTTTTTTTTGAATTTTTTTTTGACAAATTGTTGGATGTTTTTTTTTTTTTTTTTTTTTTTTGGATGTTTTTTCCCCTATTTTTTTTTGTTGGATGTTTATTTTTTCCTATTTTTTTGTTTAGTTTTTCCCATTTTTTTTTGGAAGTTTTTTTGAAATTTTTTTTTTAGTTTCAATTTTCCCTATTTTTGTTTAGTTTTTTCCCTATTTTTGTTTAGTTTTTTCCCTATTTTTGTTTAGTTTTTTCCCTATTTTTGTTTAGTTTTTTCCCTATTTTTGTTTAGTTTTTTCCCTATTTTTGTTTAGTTTTTTCCCTATTTTTGTTTAGTTTTTCCTATTTTTTTTATTTTTTATATTTTTTTGTTTTTTTCCTATTTTTTTAGTTTAGTTTTTCCTATTTTTGTTTAGTTTTTTCATTTTTGTTTAGTTTTTTCAATTTTGTTTAATTTTTCAACCTATTTTTGTTTAGTTTTTTATTTTTGTTTCATTTTTTTCCTTTTTTTTTGTTTAGTTTTTTTTATTTTTTTAGTTTTTCCATTTTTTGTTTAGTTTTTTAACATTTGTTTAGTTTTTTCCATTTTTTTTAGTTTTTTCCTTTTTGTTTTTTTTTCTTATTTTTGTTTAGTTTTTCCTTGATTGAATTTTTCCTATTTTGTTTATTTTTTCCCTGTTTTGTTTAAA